TATGAGTCGCAGGCTACTCGACGGCACATAACAACAACAACAACAGTATAACATTTTATGATACTTTTCTTGGCAGGTTATGCCTTATATATTCTCTTTCAAAATTCCCCAAGACCAAGCACAGATAAATACCACAGAAAAGTTGGTTACATACTATCTCTAGTGAAATACTACATTTCTAGTTCTGATTCCCATTACAAGATTCTCTCTCTCTCTCTCTCTCTCTCTGTGTGTGTGTGTGTGTGTGTGTGTGTGTGTGTGTGTGTGTGTGTGTTTGTTAAGAGGCAATAAATCACATGGGAAGAGATTGCTCTTCCTTTTTACACAGAACAGCTGGTGGATTCAAACCACACGCCTTCAAGATTGTAAGCACAGATTCATACCACTAGGCCACCAGAGAAAACCATACAATGACTTCACTGCCTGGGACACATCATTGCTGTTATAGTTTCCATTGCTTGACATTATGCCTAGTTAACAGTTCCTGAACTGTGGCAGGTAAGGAGTCCCCAGAACTCTTGGAGTTCCAGGCCATAAGTAGGTTGAAAATAGAAGCATTTACTGAACCACTGTCATACTCTCTCTGTATCTAAAGTTCTGGTGCTTGGAAACCAATAAGAAGTTTAGTCTAGAGGTTAAATTAACTACCTCTGAACTGATATTGTATGATATTTAGTCATGAAAGTACTTATCTATGTTTTTTGGTCATTATGAAATTCAGGCCAAAATCATTCCAAGCTCTTGTACATTTTCAATTTAATGATGTGTTTTACAATCAAATAGCAGTTACTTATGAAAAAAAGATGATCTAAGAAAAGCTTTATATATATATATTCAACTAAGCTCTGGTGTCTTGGTAGTAACAAGTTGTGCTGCAAATCTGAAGGCAAGCAAATCAAATCCACTATGTAACTCCACTGAAGAAGGATGGACAATCTCCTCTCAGGTGATTTACTGCCTCTGAAAACCTGTTGGAGGGTCAGCTCTGAGTCAGTACTGACTCAAAAGTACATCAGTACATCAGTTATATTATTATTGCTGTTGTTATGAAGCACTTGTTTCAGAAGGTCAAGGACTGCAGCCTTAAATATGGATTAAAGCTCAACATCAAGAAAACAAAGATTCTCACCACTGAGCCTATTGGCAGCATCATGATATATGATGAAGAGATTAAGGTTATTAACAGCTTCCATTTACTAGGCTCCACAATTAACACTCTTGGTACCAGCAGTCAGGAAATTAAAAGATTAATTTCACCAGGAAAGTCTGCTGTCAGAGGCCTCTCCAAAGTACTGAAGAGCAACAATGTCAATCTGCAGACTAAAGTGTGCCTGATTCAGGCCATGATTTTTGCAATTACTTGCTATGCATCAGAAAACTGGACAATGACTGGAGATGATAAAAGGATAGTTGATGCCTTTGAGCTTTGGTGCTGGGGAAGAGTACTGAATATACCATAGACTGAAAGGAGAAAAGGTTTGTCCTAAAGAGAGTCAAACCAGGTTTCTCTTTGTAGGGAAGGATTATGAAGCTTCATCTGACATATTTGGACATGTTGCAAAGAAGGACCAGTCCTTAGAAAAGGATGTTATTCTTGGGAGGGTAGAGGGACAGCACAAAAGAAGAAGATCCTTGATGAGATGGATTGATTGAGTGATTGTGGTGATGTGGGTAGATGTGTGAGAGACAAGATTGACACAGGATAGAGTAGGGGATAGGGCTGTTGCACACAGGGTCACTATGAGTGGCAAGTGACTTAACAGCACATAACAACAACAATGTGCCACCAAGTCACCTGCCACTCATAGTGACCCTGTTTTCCATAGCTGTGAACCCTGTCCTAACCTGAGCCTGTATCACTGTCTCCAATATAACTACGCCTATTATCCCAGTTACCGGATCAATCTGTCTCATCCCGGATCTGCCTTCCCTGTTCTGTCCATCAGCCCTTTCAAGTATGATGTCCTTCTTAAAGGACTGAGCCCAAAATATATGAGATGGTGTTCAAAATCCTTGCCTCCAAGCAGAAACTTGGTTTCGCCCTCTCCAATACAAACCTGTTTGTTCTCTTGGAAGTCTATGGTATATTCAATATTCTTTTCTAGCACTACAACTCAAAGGCATCAATTTTTCTTCTGTCATCTTTATTCATTGTCCAGCTCTCTGATGCATAGCAAATAAGTGCGAAGACCATCACCTTAATCAGGCACACTTTAGGTTCTAGACTGACATTGATGTTCTTTAGTACTCTGGAGTTATCCCTGATGGAAGATATCCCTAATATGATTAATCTTTTGGTTTCCTGACTGCTATAGCCATGAGTACTGATTTTGAAGCTGAGCAAGCTGAAATTGTTAACTTCATTCTCTTCTTAGACTGAAGGAATTGAAAAACAAATTCAAAGCCTAGAATTAGAATATTTAGGCAGGCCATGGGCAGAACGTTAGATAATCCAGGAAGCAATAAAAAATATGGAGAGTGAACACAAAGTCATTGTACTAAAGAAAAAAAAATTGGTTGACCAGAAGAATTTCATGAAACAACATATGATCGAGTCATGGTGATGAACAAGGAAGTTCAAGCTGCTCTGGAGGAATTGGCAAAAAACAAGGCCCAAGGAATTGATTGACTATCAATTGATATATTTCCACAAAACGATACTGTTCTGGACATGCCAACCACGTTGTGCCAAGAAATCTGGAGGACAAGAAATCTGGATGATCACCTGGCCAACTGACTGAGAGAGATCCATATTTATTCCCATTCCAAAAAAAGGTGACAAGACATACTGTGAAAATTATTGAAGAATACCACACCCAAGCAAAATCCTGCTGACGATTATCCAAAAATGACTGGAACAGTCCATTGACAGAAGCACCAGAAATTCAAGCTGGGTTTAGAAAAGGTTGTGGCACTAGATGCATCATCATCAATGGCAGATAGATTTTGGCTGAAAGCAAAAAGTATCAGAGCAATGTCTATCTGTGTTTACTTAGCTATGCAAAGTCATTTGACTGTGTATATCACAACAAATTGTGGCTACCCTTGAGGAGAACTGGAATCCCAGAGTACTGGACTGTGCTCATGTAAAATCTTTACTTAGACCAGGAAGCAGTCCTCAGAATTGTTGTTGTTATGTGCCATCAAGTCGTTTCCGACTCATAGCGACCCTATGCAAAACAGCTCTAAACCCTGCTCTATCCTGCGCCAACCGCACCGCCTCTGACACACCCATCCCGATTACCCCAGTCACCAAATCAATCCATCTCATAGAGGGTCTTCCCCTCCTGCGCTGTCCCTCCACCCTCCCAAGCATGATTTCCCTCTCCAAGGACCCGTCCCTCCTGGCAACATGTCCAAAGTATGTCACACCAAGCCCCAGAATCTTTGCCTCCAAGGAGTAGCTTGGTTTAATCCTCTCCAAGATGAATCTGTTTGTTTTCCTGGCAGTCCATGGTACATTCAGTACCCTTCTCCAGCACCACAGCTCAAAAGCATCCACTCTCCTTCTGTCCTCCCTAGTCAAGGAAACTCTGCATGGTTCAAAATCTGGATAGCTGTATGTCAGGGATCCATTTTATCTCCGTATCCTTTCAAACTATATGTGGAACTGATCATTCAGGTGGCTGGATTTTGTGAGGAAGAATGTGGTGTCAGGAAGACATGGAGGAAGGCTTATCAACAGCCTGCTTTATGCTGAAGACACAACCTTGCTTGCCCAAATTGAAGAGGGCTTAAAGCATTTGCTGCAGAAGGCGAACTGTCATCTTAGGTGCACATCGAAGCTCAGCATAAAGAGGATAAAAATCCTCTCCTTTTGGTCAATTGACATCATTATATTACTATGAAAAATATCTTTCAATATTAGGCTTTTGTTCTTATGTGCCAAAGAGTTGTACCTGACCAATAGCTGACCCTTCAGTTGATTTTCGGAGGCAGTAAATAGCATTGAAGGAGATTGTCCATCTTCTGTAGAGCTGTTGGTGCATTTGAACTGCATGCCTTTGAGACTGCAGTGCAGCTTTTTACTACTAGGCTACCAGAATATTAGGCTGAGTTTTATAGTATATCTTTGGTAGCTGTCATCAAGTTGATTGTGACTCATAGATAACCTATGAACCAAGGTATGAACTCTGCCCTATCCTGTACCATCCTCACAATCTCTGATATACTAAAGTCCGCTGTTACAGTCACTGTGTCAATCCATGTGATCGGGGGTGGGAGGGAGTCTGCCTTTCTTTCTCTGATCTTCCACCTTTCCCAGCATGCTGTCCTTTTCCTAGGACTTCTCCTCTTGACAGCATGTTCAAAGCATATAAGATAAAGTTTCATTTCCTTACTGTAAGAGGAACCATAGTTGCACTTACTCTAAGACAGATTTGTTTGCCCATGGGATATTCAGTATTCTTCTCCAACAATACAATGCAAAGGCATAAATTCTTTTTTTTACTTCTTTATTTATTGCCAAACTTGCATGGATCATAACAAGTTATGGCTCATATTGAGGAGAACTGGAATCCCAGAGCATTTAATTGTACTTATGCTAAACTTATATCTAGACCAAGATGCTGTTGTGCCAGGACTGCATTGTCTTTCTATATCTATTCAATCTGTATGCTGAGCAAATTATTAGAGAAGATGGACTCTATGAAGAAGAATGTAGCATCAAGTTTGGAAGAAGATTCATCAATAACCTGCATTATGCAAATAACACAACCTTGCTTGCTGAAAGTTAGAAGGACTTAAAGAACTTATTGGAGAAGAACAAAGAATGCTGTTGTTGTTGTTAAGTGTCATTGAGTCAAGCACAACTCATAACTAGCCTATGAACAAAAGACCTGAACCTTGTTCTATAACTATTGTCATTTTTCTATGTGCATAGAGTTTTCAGAGGCATGCGGTTTAGGAAGTGGATAGACTGCATCTCATCATCTAGAAAACAAAAATTCTTATCACTACACCTATAGGCAACATTGTGATAGATGGAGAAAAGATTGGAACTGTCAATAACTTCATTTTACTTGGATCCACAATCAGAATCCTTGGTATTGGCAGTCAGGAAATCAGGAGAAGTATTGCTCTTGGTAAGTCTGCAGTTAGGGACCTCTCTGAATTATTGAGGACTAATGATGTGAGTTTGAGACCTAAGGTGTGTCTAAATCAGGCCACGGTCTTTCTGATCACTTGCTGTGAATCTGAGAGCTGGACAATAAATAAGAATGGTAGAAGAATTGATGCCTTTGATCTGTGGTGTTGTAAAAAGACTACTGAACATCCCATGGACTACTAAAAAACAAATGTCTTGAAGTAAGTGCAGCCAGAGTGCTTTTTGGAGGAAAAGATAATAATGCTTCACCTCACATACTTTGGGCATGTTGCTAGTAGAGGTACATGATGCTCAGAAATATAGAGAGATGGCAAAGGAGAGGAAGACATAATGATACAGTGATTAATCAGATAGATTGATACAGTGATTGCCACTATGGTTCTCTAGTGTGTCAGGAAGTGTGAGGATGGCACAGGTAGGACAGGGTTCAGATCTCTTGTTCAGAAGATCACTATGAGTTGTACTTGACTCACTGACACCCAGCAACAACCACATTTATTGTCAAACTTACAGTAGCATGGGAAGAGTTTGAAAAGATCAGGTACACCTTAGACTTTAAATGAATATCATATACTGGGTTTAAAAAATTAGATATATATTTTATATTAATGATACTATTCACCAAAAATCATTACTTTTCTGATCCAACCATTGTGGCTCTCAAATCAACTATAATCTCCATTAATATCATCTTGGTCAGGTTAATAACCAATTTTCAAAATCTAGTATTTCTTGAGCTGCCAGAAATGCAAGTTGGGTTGAAATTTGGCATTAGGGATATCATTGCTGATGCCAGGTAAATCTCAGCTGAAAGCAGAGATTGCCAGAAAGATGTCTGTTTGTGTTTTATTGATTTTCCAAAGGCATTTGACTATGTGAATCACAATAAATTGTGCCTAACATTGAGAAGAATGGGAATTCCAGAACACTTGATTGTGTTCATGCAAAACCTATACCTAGACCAGGAAGCTTCTGTCTGAACAGAACAAGAGAATATTGCAAGGTTCAAAATAAAAAAAAGAAGCATAGCATACAATCCATATACCATTGAAAGAATTTTTCTTTTCCTTTTCAAGAGAAGAGTGAACTGGGTGGAGGGGTGGGCAGGGAGAAAAATGCAACAATGAATGAATGAATGGAAATTCAAAATCTATGTAAACGTTCATTAAAATAAAAAAAAAATAATGCAAACTCCTGAGCTGAAAGAAAGAAAGAAAGAAAGAAAGAAAGAAAGAAAGAAAGAAAGAAAGAAAGAAAGAAAGATGTATGGCAACGATATTTGCTATCTCCATAAATTTTCAATCTATATGCTGAACAGATTGTTCAGGAGGCTGCACCTTATGAAAATGAATGAGGCATCAGGATTGGGAGAAGATTCATCAGCAATCTGTGTTATGCTGATCGTATAACCTAGCTTTCCAAGACTGATGAGGGCTCAAAGTGTTTGTTGCAGGAGGTAGAGGACTCAATATGGATTGAATTTCAACATGAAGAAAACAAAATCCTCACTGCCATGCCAATATGCATCATCATGATAGATGGAGATAAAATTGAGGTTGTTAATTATTTCATCTTGCTCAGATCCACAATCAACACGCTTGGCACCAGCAGCCAGGAAATCAAAAGATAAGTCGCATTGGGAAAATATGCTGTCAAGGATGTCTTTAAAGTGCTAATGTTGATGTCACTCTAAAAACTCAGATGTGCCTGCCTGATTCAGGCCATGGTCTCCTCAATTACTTGCTGTGATTTTAGAGCTAGAAAATGAATAATGTTGACAAAGAAGAATTGATGCATTTGACCTGTGGTGCTAGAGAAGAGTACTGAATATACCATGGGCTGCCAAGACAATAAACAGATCTGCTCCGGAAGCATTAAACCAGGTTGCTTCGTGGAGGCAAACATTTCGGAGCTCCATCTCGTATTCTTTGGGCATGTTGTCAGGAGGAATTATTCCCTGGTGAAGGACATCATGCTTAATATGGTAAAGAATCAGTGCAGGAGAAGACCCTGAGTGAGACAGATGACACGTTGGTTATGGCAATGTGGTCAGATTTGTCAGGGAGAAATTGACTCAGGATAAGGCAAAGTTCAGAGTTATTGTTCTTAATGTTTTGTGAATCCAGTTGTAGTTCCCTGGAACGGATATGACAATAACCACCAACTGTTCATATGGTTTGTTAATGTTAGATGCCCTCAAGTCAGAACTGGCTCATAGCTGAACATAGCTTATCAAAGGCTGGCTATAGATCAAAAAGGAAAGGTTGTCAACCTTTTTTTCTGTGGAGTAGGTGGTACATTTGAACTGCCTGCTTTTGGCAGTTCCTTACTCACTGGGCCACCAAATATCCCTAAACTGCATATAGCCTATTTAAGTTAAATGTTAATAATTTTAAAATAATGCATTCTTAACATTCCATTCATTGTGATAGACTTTATTAGAAAAATGCCCTACAGATGATAATTCTAAAAAAAAAAAAGCAGAGGGTAGAGAGAGGGAAAAATGCTAAATAGTCTCCTCTTAGATCATTGCAAATAATTTGTATATAATGTTGTTGTTGTTGTTATTAAATGACAAAAGTAATTTACAAAGTAATTTTTATGTAGTATCTCTGAGATGTCGTTTTTCACAAAAGCCACACTGATTCCACTACTACTAATTGTATTTGGCAGAGTAACCTTAAAAACCACCAAGTTCAATATTATGTGGGATGCAAACATTTCCCACAGTTTAGAATGATGCTCTGAATGTTCCTTTGCTCACATTTGATAATAAAAATGATTTTAAAATAAAATTGATGGAATATTTAAAAAAATAGCTTAGGTTAAAAGAATCTCTGTACAAATCTCATACATATTTCCTTTGTTATGAACAGATGCTTCAATACTATCCAGTATACATGTATCTACCCTGGGAACAGCTTGTACAAACAGTTACCTCTACGCAATTACCTCAACAAACAGGGCAGCAGCAATATGAGGTTCAGGTATAGTAAAAGCTTCATTTTCTTCTCATTATCTCCACTTGAGAATAAAGAGGATAAGCTACATTTCCTGGGAATATTCAAAACTCAAACTCATTGTCTTCAAGTACATAGAAACTCATAGCTATCCTCCATTGAGTTTCTGAGGATGTAAATTTTCCTGGGACAAAATTACCCATCTTTCTTTCCAGAAACTGTTGGTCAATTTGAACCAAGAAAAGTATGTTGTTATTGTGAGCCATCGAGTTGATCCTCCAGCAGGTGTTCAGAAGCTGTAAATCACTCAGGAGGAGATTGGCCATTCTTCTTCCTTAGAGTAGGGGGTGGATTTGAACCACATTTCTTTGCGATAGCAGTACAACTTAGTGGACCACCAGAGTTCTCTAAGGGATACTTGTGACTTCCTAATTCAAATTAAGTCATGTTTAGTCAAGACAGAGAAAATCTGGACCTAAAAGGCATACACTGTTAATAAAATTCTTAGTAATTGATGATAACTCATTTTATCACCTGGATTATTTTGACTTTTGAAAATGAATTTTAATAGAATATAAAAAGATACATAGTTATATAATCATTTATTTAAAAAGTTATGATACAATTCATTTATTTAGTTTGCCAAAATTCTAACAGGTACCAGTTTATCCTCAATATGAGTACATTCTACAACAAGCAGAACCGGTAAGTAGACACATACTTAACACTTTTATTAAAAACATAATATTAAAATTACTTATATTCTAATCTTTTTAATCTGCCAGTGACATTACAAAAAGCCATAAGGAATACAACTTTAGTTGAATGAACATGGACTTATTCATTCAATGTAATGAGGAAGAATCCATATGACAAATTAAAGAAATGACTGTTGGTCTTGCCCCTCTTGTTGTTGCATGCTGTGGAGTTAGAACTCACTCGTAGTTGACTCTCCAGTGGCTTTTCAGAGGCAGTAGATCACATTGAAGGAGATTGCCCACCCTTCTCCCACGGAGCACTGGGTGAATTAGAACTGCATGCCTTTGATATGACTTTTCACAGGACTTGGGTTCATATTGGTTGACTTTTGGGGAGGTTTTGAGAAAGCATTGGTTTATTATTTTTTAGGTGTTCTCAAAACGCATGAGGACGCTTAGAGTTAGGTTTTCTCTTTATGACTGTGGTCACAATTGTTACTTAGAAAGTACGAAAAATGATGTGTGACAAAAGCAACAAAATACACTGATTTGGAAAGAAGTGAGAGCCATATATATTAGCTCAATTATAAAGGGGTTTGATTTTCTTTTCTTTCTTTTTTTTTTCAAGGCAAAAGAACTTTATTTCCAGACAAAATCAGATCCAAAGGGGCAAGGACTACGAATTCAACATGTTCTCTTCTTTTAGGAGGACACAATTCAGTATACTAGAAGCTACAACTTATGTCCTTTTTATAGTTTTATTATGCATCTACAGAACAGAAACTTCCAACAAAAATTGGAAAAGAATAGGGCTATATTTTAACTTGTGAAATTATAGTGGCTGATGCTTTTAGCTCGACTTTAAATAGATTATCTTTAGTGCAAAACAAAAAAAAAGTCAATAAAAGGGTTAATAAACTCTTGGCCAAAATATATTCTTTCCCCCCCCCCGCCCCGCCCAAGCATTAGTGTAACATCATGCATACAAACCTAAGATTAAATATGGGAGGTTTTTTGGATTTTTTTTTTGCGTTTGTGCCTCGGTTCTTATTTTATTGGGGTATATTCCAAGCAGTGGAATAGCTATGTCTATGTTCAGCTTTTTGAGGAAACACTAAATTGCCTTCTAGATTGGTTGTACCATTTTATAGTCCCACAAACAGTGTAAGAGTTACTATTTCATCATATCCTCTCAAACATTTATCACTTGCTGTCCTAATACACTATGCCACTGCTACTGGAATTAGATGGTATCTCATTGTGGTTTTGCTTTGTATCTATCTTATTGCCACTGATTTTGAGCATTTTTTTAATGTGTCTGTTGATCATTTGAATATCTTCCTCTGTGAAAAGTCCAAGGCTTTTGCCCATTTTGTAATTGTGTTCTCAGTTTGTTGTCGTCGTGATTTTCTTTTTTAAAAAAATAAATGGAGGGGGTTTTTAATTGGTTTGCTTACAAAGTTCATATACATTGTGTTTCACACTATCCTTCATTCACATTGTGTTTCATGTAATCATTCCCATCCATTATACTTTATAAAATTAATCAACACTGAGCTATTTTTCAACTTTTACAGTAGCTTTGCTTTAGGAATGATCATGAAGAGGCCTTATTTTTGTTTTAATTCTTCATGTTCAGAAACAACCTTGTCTGATATTGGAGCTCTGTAGGATTGTTTACATTCATCAAGGAAAACATAGCTAAGCAGTGAATACTAAACAAGATGCTAAGAAGGTTGATAGAAGCAAAACTGTTGAATCAGGGTGGTTCCCTGATGGCAAAAACTGTGGAGGGTTTTCTTAAGGTTTGTTTTTGGTTTCTTGGGTTTTTTTTTTCATTAAGATACTAGTTCACAATAGCAAAGGGATGGAAACAACCCAACTGCCTATCAACAAATGAATAGACAGAGAAGCTGTGGTATATTCACACAAAGGAATACTATGCAGCACTGAAAAATAAGGAAGTCAAGAAATATTATACAAAATGGGTGACCCTGAATAACATTTTGCTGATTGAAATATCTCAGTTACAAAAGGACAAATACTGAATAATGCCATTGTTATAAAACAGGACTGACATAGAAGTTTGGGGGAAACTAAGAAAAGAGGGGATATATAATGTACACTGCATTGAAAAAGATGAAGAATAGAATTGCTTAAAAGGAATATATGATTATGTATTATTTGCATGACAACAATCCAGAATAAGAGCTGCATAGTAAAGTGGACTGGAGGGGGAGCTACGGTCCAACAATGAAAGAACGTTTTTTCTAAGAGAAAAGTGAACTGGGTATGTGGGCAGGGAGGAAAATGTGCAACAATGAATGAATGGAAATCCAAGTTCTGTATAAACTTTCATTAAAATATCAACTTAAAAAAGATACTCACTTAAGAAGTTAGGAAATTATTGTTCCTGCATGCTGTGTAGTATTCCATCGTATGAATGTACAATAATTTCTCAGACTATTCTGTTCTCGGTGATGGTGAATAATGCTGCTATGAATATTGGTGTACAAGTCTCCATTTGTTCCTCAGTTCTCATTTTCTCAGAGTATATGCCAAGCAGTGGAATAGCTGAGTCATAAGGAATTTCTATGTTCAGCTTTTTGAGGAAGCACCAACTGCCTTCCAGAACGGTTGTACCATTTTACAATCTCACCAACAATGTATAAGAGTTCCTATCTCTCCACATCCTCTCCAACATTTATTACTTCTTGTCCTGTTAAACTTTGTCACTGTTACTGGAGTGAGATGATACCTCATTGTGGTTTTCGTATGTGTCACTTTTATTGCCAGTGATTTTGAGCAATTCTTTATGTGTCTGTTGGCCATTCAAATATATTCCTCTGTGAAAAGTCTTTCCACATCTTTTGCCCATTTTATAATTGGGTTATCAGTCAGATGGATTGAGAAATTATGATACATTCAAACAAAGGAATAGTACATGGCACTCAACAACAATGATTTTGTAAATTATTACCTAATTTGGAAGGGACTGGAGAGTATTATAATAAGTGAACTGACATAGTCCCACAGGACAGATATAGAAAAAAACCATTATGAGTATGAGGATCCCAGGGAGGACAAGGGTGGAAGTGGAGGGATGAAGATGTTGTGGGGGGGTGGATTAATAATGGGGTTGTACAATTTGATGAAAGGGGAATTGAACTAGGAAAAAGTGGGGTCCGAAAAACAATGTCCTCGAATTTTGTAAAGAAACTAATATAATAATAATAATAATAATAATAATAATAATAATAATAAAACAAAAAATCTTGGAATTTCTTAACTGTCCAGGATGTTAAAATAACATATTTTTATAGAATGATAATTTAGACTATATTTTTCTAATTTTTCAGGTCATACCAGGAAGACAGCAGCAAATAGTCATTGATCCTCTTATAGGCACAGCCCCTGAAACTGTTCTTATGGTAAGGTTCCTTAAAACCCTATATATTGTTTGTTGATATATAGAATCAAGTTTGAACCCATAATTGACCCTCCTTTCTGATACATAGCAAGCAATTACAAAGATAATGGAATGAAGTATGTGTATGTTACTCTTCTGATTGACATCTGTGATCTTTAGCACTCTGGAGGGGTCCCTGAGAGCAGACTTTCCCAGTACAATTCATCTTTTGATTTCCTGACTAATGGTGCCAAAAGTGTTGATTATGTACTGGAAAAAGATGTAACTGTTAACAATCTGAATCTCCTCTCCATTGATCATGGTGCCACCACTTGGCCCAGTGGTGAGAATCTTTTTTTCTTTTTTCTGTTGTGCTTTTAGTCCATATAAATCCTTGACACCTTCTGCAGCAAAAGCTTCAGATTCTTCTATAATTTTCTTTAGCTTCAATTTTAACTTGCATATGAGTACTTGATGATCTATTCCACAATCAGCACCTGGATTCATTTACTTCTAAAATAAAATATTTACTTTCTATCACAATCCTGCTGCTTTGAATATTTTCCTATTTTTAACTAAACCTGTAGCTCCCCCTTCTCCTTCTCTATAGCCAGCAGGAGGAGTGATAGCATACTTACAGAAAGAAATGGCAGACTCTAGGCATGCTGATACAAGAATTTCCATGCCTTCAAGTTCACCAAAACCCAGAACAAGCAATATTTTCACTTCTACTGTAAACCCAACTATTGACCCGGAATTGATGGAAGAAAAGGTAAACAAAAGTTCATTTTATGTTAAAATTGTCATTGGAAGTAAAATATACCAAAAAAAAGTAAAGTATAAAGATAAGATTAATGTTCCATTTTTAAGACTTATTCAGGGAAATAATATATTGGATATATTAGTATATATTAATTTGATGTTCAGTAAGGAAGCAAACAATTATTTATTATAAATTAATAAGAACATTTTAATTATTTTATGATAAGAACTTGTAACTGTCTTTTTCTCTGCAGTCCAAGACCAATAGCTTCAGTGAACCCTAAAATGTTCTGATCACTCAGAAATTTCGGTAGGTATTTACCAAAAGATGTGCATTTTATATATATCTTAAGTTGAAAATTAGGTTGGTAAAGAGTCAGAATAATTACTGAAGTTCTTACCAAAGTGATTGTGAAAAATATGTTAGTGCCTCTGAGTCTCTATCAAAATAGTAATTATGGATTTTTATGAATTGAAAAAAAATTTTTTTAGAATTGTGTTTGCCTCACCATAAGGTTGGCAAATTTTGACAAAAAATATAATAAATATAAGAGTGAAAGAGAGAGAGAGATATTACATGACCAGTCCTTGTATAAAGACATTGTGTGCTGGGAAAGGTAGAGTGTCAGAGAAAGAAAGGAAGACCCTCAACAATGGACTCAAGCATATCAGATATGATGAGGATGGTATAGGATCAAGCAAGGTTTAGATCTGTTCATAGGGTTGCTATGGGTTGTACTCTATTTAATGGCAGCTATAACACCATGTAATGAAAAGCAAATTCAAGGTTCAAGTTGCAATATTGAGAGATGTTATGGACACAGTCTTGAATGATCCAGGAAACATCAAAAGAAGGAGAATCATTGTACTCAAAATAATTAGTTAACTCTGGTAAATTTAAGGAAGTACCAAATGAACAAGAGCCAATGGTAATGAATTATTAAGTTCAAGTTGCACTGAAAGCATTGGCAAAAAATAAAGCCCTTGGAACCAATGGAATTCCAGATGTGCTTGATTCAGGCATGGTCTTCTTAGTCACCTGCTTTGCAGCAGAGAGGTTAACAGTGAATAAAGATGACAGAAGATGAATTGATGCCTTTGAGTTGTCGTATTGGAGAATAGTACTTGATAGCCCATAAATGGTCAAAAGAACAAATAGTTATGTCTCAGAAAAAGTGCAACCACAGGACTTCTTGAAAGATGATGAAGCTTCATCTTTCATACTTTGGACATGTAGCTAGGTGAGGCTATTCCTTGGGAAGGGGCATCATGCTTAGAAGGATAGAGAGTCATTTGAAGGAGTGGGAGACTCCCAGTGACACGAATTGACACAGTGACTTCAGAAATGGACTTCCGTGTGTCAGAGATGATGAGGATAGCACAAGATGGGGCAGGGCTTAGATTAGCATTTCATAGGGTTTCTATGAGTCATCTTTGACTCAAGAGCACCTAACAACACAATATAAACACTATATGTTTTTATTTATCTATCATTGCCATCCTTTTGGAATTTCATGCAAGGAGATTGCCTATCTTTCTCCTGTGGAGCTACTGGTAGGTTTGAATCATCAGATGGGCACAGCCTTTGGTTAGTGGCACAACTCCCTTTGGACTAAGCTGCCATAACTTTCCTTTATATATGCCATTATATAGATACTAAGGGAGCTCTGGTGGCCTAATGAGTAACAAGCTGCCCTGCCACTTCAAAGGCATCGAGTTTGAATCCACCAGCTGTTCTTCAGGGTAAAGATAGGCAGTATTTACAGCCTCTAAAAATCTGCTAAAGTGTTGGTTCTGACTCAATGGCAACAATAAGGCCTTCAAATCAATTTCATTTTGCAAGCTAGAAATTATAAGGATATTAATAAATCTGTAGTATGTTAGAATGAAATAAAGGCTCAATGATAAAAATTACATCATGATATTGATTACAAATTTCTTATTCTTTATATTCAAATCTGATCTTTATGACCACTATTGGACTTGGTTATCTATAGACTAGAATTAATATAGACAGACAAGTTGGAAATGGTACCAAAAAACAAAGAATATGTGTTAAAAAAGCAAAAGAAAATAGTTTGAAATACAAATTGAAAAAAAGTTTCTTGAAATCTTCTACTTACTGTTTATGGATTTTTTCTTATTTCTATTGAAATGAATACTCAGTTTCTTCAAATTATAAAAGGTTATAAAAATTTAACTGAAAATATTTTTGTTGTTGTTTTTATGTGCCATCGAATCACCTGCGACTCATAGTGAACCTATGTACAACAACCCTAAACCCTGCTCTTTTGCCAATCTTACTGTCTCTGACACACCTATCCCCATTACCCCAGTGACTGAATTAATCCATCTCATCGAGGGTCTTGTCCTGTGCTGTCCCTCTACGCTCCCAAGCATGATGTCCCTCTCCAAGGACTGGTCCCTCCTTGCAAGATGTCTAAAGTATGTCAAACGAAGCTTCAGAATCCTTGCCTTCAAGGAGCAGCCTGTCTTCACCCTGTCCAGGATGAACTTGTTTGTTCTCCTAGAAGTCTTTACAGAAAAATTTTCCTATAACATAATATTTTATATAAAGTACATTTATTCAAGCTGTTTAATAAAAATGTTAATTAGATTCAGTATAATATAATTTTTATATGCATCAACATTTGTTAAAACAAAGCTTACTATTTTATTATTATTAAGCTATTTAAGATATACCTACGAATTTTACACAAACCGGTCTAACTATGATAAAATTATCTTTTATTTTGCAGAAAAAGAAGATATGGCAGGGTGCCTCAGATATCATTTTATGCTATTTGCTTCCTCAGTGCTACTATTAGTTCTCTAAAATATGCAAAATATCTTTACTTTATCCTTAAGTTCCTTTTTTCCCTTATAAATAGTATCAATCTCTTTAGAAACCAGGAAATAATAATGAAATCACGTAAAAATCCTGTCTATACCAAATTATTCCTTTTCAAATATCCTAACATAGAATAATAAGGGGAAAAAACAACAGGAGGAATAAAATTAATATTATCAAATCGTTGTGTTAATAAAGGATGTCAGTGTAAAATGGTATCACCTATGAGAATAAATACATATTGACATTTTATGGTGACCATGGTCATTATAACTAATGGAACAAAATGGGTGCATAATTTTGATGTGTCATATTATTATTTCCTCTAGATTCATTCTGCCAGATTCTTTCTGCTAGATTCCAGGATAATAAAAATTATATGGTAGCAGATACTGTGATGTGCATGCTTTTAATGTGAGATATAGTAGTATATTTGTCAAAAGTAAACATAATAAAGGAATATATTATCCCCTGAATATAAAATAATGAATACAATATACGTGGGATAAATGGTTTCCACTAAATTACTATAGTGGTACTTTGAGATGAAAAGATTTGGCAATCTGTTCTGTAAGATAACAGGCAAGAAAAATTTTTGAGCAGTTCTACTCTGTAACATGTGCGTCACCATGAGTCAGAATTGACTCTACAGTAAAAGGATTTGTTTTATAAAGGATTTGGCTTGTTTTGTCTTTCTAAATACATAAGTAAACTACACAGAGAGATGGCTCTACTCTTATCAAAAAGAATAGGTCCCTATACTTTTTTTATACAGACTAGTCGAGGGCCCAGGACTATGCTCCTTAGAAACCTTTGGAATTTGGAACAAAACTTAAATCTAAGGCTTCATGTTGAGCCAAACAACTGATAAATCTGCAAGTGACCAGTAACAGCAAGCACTCCTTAGAATAACCAGCCAAATAACATCAAAACAGCAGCATTTGTCTAAGGGTAAAACCCAAACAGGAAGAAGGAGTGGAATAGAAATGGAAATGAGAATTACAGGGAGGAGTGGGGAAAATGTGACGATATTGTGGGTCTATATAATTTTTATAAAACTAGTTGTTGATGAATAGGTGGCTCAAAAAAAACATTTTTCTTTGTGAAGTTTCCAATTATGCAAATACACAAATACACCCCCCCACCCCCGAGAGCCTCAAACAAAAATATTATTTATCCTGTTTGTAGATGAATCATATTATAGGGAACAGGACACAGGTTTTAGATTGCAATATATCTTGATGTTTTAAATATGCATATGAAATTTCAGGAAGTCACTGATGCTGAGTCTCACTTTCCTCTGGTATAATATAGAGATAGGCACATGGCCAGGAGGGACCAGTTCTTGGAGAAGGGCATCAGGAGTGGAGAAGCAGTGTAGAAGAGGAAGATGGTTAAGATGGATTTACACAGTAACTGGGGTAATGGGTGTAGGTGTGTTGCAATCAGTAAAACTGGCTCAGGATAGGGCAGGCTTCAAAATTGTTGTACAGAGGGTCATTATGAGTCGTAGGTGACTCAATGGCACATAACAACAACAACACCTAGATTTCAGAATTTCTGGAAAAACTATAAAAAATTACACATTTGAGACAATCAGCTGATAGAGGGCAGTTAGAAAAATGTTAACTCCGAGTCCACTGTACCAGTTCTTTTGTGAATGCAGGAATATTTATTATTTGTTTTCTCAACTTTGAGCCTCCAAGTGAAATTCTTTTAAAGAACTTGGAAAATTCATATTCAATATTACTTTTTATGTGTATATGGATAGATATAGATAGAACAGGGTTTAGATCTGTTGCTCATAGAGTCACTGAGGGCCATATGTGACTACATGGTTCCTAACAACAATATCAACAACCACAGCATGACAATCCTGTGAAGAACGGATTGGAACTTTGTCTTTTCCTGCACAAACCTAGAAATTTCTGACATCCCCATTGTTAGAGTCATTATGTCAAATCATCTGAAAAGATATTTTTTCTTTTGTTGATCCTCTACTGCTCAAGCATGTAGTCTTTTCCCAAGGACTGACACACTTAAAATATGTGACAAAAAGTTTTATCATCTTTGCCACAAAGAAATACACTGGTTGTGAGAGAACTGTTTAGAATGGATATATGATTAGGTATTATTGTCATGACAGGAGTCCAGGATGAAGGCAGCATAGCTGCATGAACTTGAGGGGAGGGATTATATAACAATGCAAGAATTTTTCTTTTATTTTTCAAAGAGTGAATTGAGGGGGCAGGGAGAAAATTGTAAGGGTGGGGTGGGTAGAGAGAAAAGTGCAGCAATGAAAAAATGGAAATCCAATGTCTCTCTAAACTTTCATTAACATTAATTAAAAAAAAAAAAACCCACAGCAACAACCCTGGTTGCAATTCCTTCAAGAAAGACTTGTTCTTTTGGCATTTCACAGGTTATTAAGCA